GTTTTATGCAGTTGTGCAAGCCTTACGCTACTGGAGGCACTACCCGATTCATAGAGAGTTTGTTCTATACTCAGATCACGAAGCACTCCGATATTTGAGTTTCCAGAAAAAGTTAAATGCGCGACATGCTAAGTGGATGACCTTCCTTCAAGAATACACATTCCTATTAAAGCACAAGGCTGGAACCCAAAATAAGGCAGCTTATGCTTTAAGTAGAAGGGTAGTGTTGCTTAGAATTTTGTCTATGGAAGTGTTGGGGTTTGAAGTGATAAAAGATTAATATAAAGTTGATCTAATTTTCAGCAAGGTCCTTGAAGGGTGTGTTGATGGGTAAGACCTATGGGTGAGTATCTCGTGCATGATGATTGTTTATTTAAAGGTGTGCGGTTATGTATACCTGATTGCTCCCTAAGGGAGAAGATAATCATGAAGCTTCATGGTGGGGGCTTGGGTGGACACTTTGAAAATGACAAAACTATGGCTATTGTTGGAGAAAAATATTTTTGGCCACATATGCGACTAGATGTTAATCGACTCCTGACCCAATGTCGAACTTGTCAAGTATCTAAAGGTCACACACAAAATACAGGTATTTATACTCCTCTTCCTGTTCCAGACGCCCCATGGGTTGATATTTCTATGGACTTTGTACTTGGACTTCCATGTACCACACGAGGTATAGACTCTATTTTTGTTGTTGTTGATCGATTTTCCAAAATGACACATTTTATTCCTTGTTAAAGAATTATGGATTCTACACATATCGCGAATCTCTTTTTCAAAGATATTGTAAGGCTACATGATGTTCCTAAGTCTATTACATTTGATCGGGATACAAAATTTTTAAGTCATTTTTGACGCACTTTATGGAAGCGCATGGGAACCAAATTTCAATTTTCTAGTGCCTATCATCTTCAAACAGATGGGCAAACCGAAGTAGTGAATATGAGCCTTGGTAACCCCTTCAAGAGTATTGTTGGTGAAAACATATCTCAGTTGGGCCTCACTTTGTGTCAGGCTGAGTTTGCTTACAACAGTTCAATAAATCGATCTATATGAAAATCACCATTTGAGATTGTTAGTGGGCGGGCGCCTAATCATGTGTTAGACTTAGTGCCATTACCCATGCCAGGCAAGTAAGTGATGATGTCAATGCTTTTGTTGAGCATATTCGAGATTTGCAAGCCCAAATCAAGAAGAAAACTGAGGAGAGCAATGCAAAGTATCAAAAAGCCTCAAATGAGCATAGAAAAAAGAAGATTTTTAAGGAGGGTGACTTAGTAATAATGTATTTGCGAAAGGAAATGTTTCCGTTAGAAACCTATAATAAACTCAAGTCCAAAAAAGTGAGTCATTGCCGCATCTTGAAATAATATGGGAACAATGCATACGAGGTAGAATTATCAAAGGCATTGGCTATCCCTCCGATATTTAATGTTGCTGACTTATTTTGAGTTTCATGGAGACCCTTTAGAAGTCGCAGAAGATGTAGTTGATACGATGAAGAAATTATCGAGGAAGAAAGAGGATGAAATTGAGCAAGTTTTGAAGATTTTCAAACTCGAAAGGGTTCATATCGTCAATTTCTAGCCAAATGGAAGGGCAAACTATACTCTGATAGCACGTGGCATTCTGAGCCAGAGTTCAAAAGAGTGGATCTAGACTTATATCGCATATATACTGAAGCCAACTCGTGAGTGTCGAGTTCCTTTCAACTGGGGGGGAATGTGCAGCCATGCCCTTTGTGACTGGGCCAAAGAAGGGTCTCAGAACCCAAGAAGGAAAGAAAGGGCAATGACGTAATAAGGAAAAATTATTAAAGTTATTTATTATAAAGTGCACAGGGATAATTAGTAGGGCGACTTTAGAATTTATATTGTGTTTATCTTGTATCGATTGGGTTAGTTTGAGGGATATAATTAGAATAAGGGTAAATTTAGAAGAGAGTTTATCTTTATCAACAATAACGAACTTGGGAGGTCATTTTTGGATAAATCATGAGAGGGAAAACATGACTATCTAGAAGCCCATGAATATGAGAGAGAGAAAATAGGGATAGGTGCAGAGAGAAGCTTTTTATTAGTTATCTATGAATTAAATAAAAATTGGTCTCTTGAAAGAGATTGTTTTGGGGGTGGATTCTCTTGCAGTCCTTTGAGAGAGGGTATTTTTCTCTTAACCTTCATTCTTTTTATTGTCAATTTTCTTGTTTTATTCTCTCCCTGCATTACCTTGAATTTTGAAGTCTTTCATATAATATTAATTTTTCTACTTTTCTATCTTCTAACCCCTGAACCGTTATTACCGACCAAATATTCATTTGACACTGATTTTATGTCCCAAACAAAACACATAGGGACTCGCAGGTCCCCTCTCATCTCACTCTCCCTTTTTCTATACCTTGCTCTCTCACCCTGCACCACCCCATACCCCCTCTCTCTCTCTCTCTCCTTGCACCTGCCCCATTCCCCTCGTCTCTCTCTCAACCCATCCCTCTCTCACACCTCTCTCCCCCAATCGATCTCTCTCTCCCAACTTGTCTGGCTCTCACCTCTCTTCCCCTATCTATCTCTCCCCAACCCATCTCATTCCCTTTGCTAAACCCTCTTTTTCTCTCTCTAGATGTAATCAAACCCCAATTTAATTTCATCCATGTCTTTGCTCTTACTATAATTCCACCACTCATAACTCGAATCTCGAAAGATAACTCAAAGTCTCAAACACCAAAGAAAGAACACATGATCATGAACATGAAGATCAAGAAGTGCCTGGAGACACAAGTAGCTGGTCAGAGCCAAAGAACAATCCCATCACCAATCAGACGATCGCAAAATCACCATAGCAGAAAGACCCCATCAATCCACAAGAAGTAAGATGATGAGGAGAAGAAAAGAAAAACTAAGAGATGGGTATTGGCCAAGAAAGGACGAACAAAAAACCCATCAGATTGTTTTTGTGCCCTCAAAGGTATTGGACAACGGGTGGAACAATGAGGAATGTACTAGTAGGGGCTGGGCACCGAAAAGATAAGCACTCCTCTTACAATCACCAAATTCCGTCTTTGACACCAGATGGCTTTCCTACAAGTCAGATGACCTTCCTACAAGTCGTTCCAGTAGTTATGGATTGGGTGAGAAAGAGAGAAAGAGAGCGAGAGAGAAAGAGAGATTGGGGAAAGAGGAGAGACATAGAGAGATTGATTAGGGAGAGAGGCGAGAGAGAGAGAAAGGGGTTGGTAGAGAACGCCACAAAGAGAGTGAGATGGGATGGAGGAAGAGAGAAGGAAGGAGATTGGGCGAGAGAGCAAAAGCAATTGGGGGACAGAGAGATGGGTTGGGTGAGAGAGTAAGAGAGAGATTGGGGGAGAGAGGAGAGAGAGATCGATTGGAAGAGAGAGAGATGAGTTGGCAAGACAGAGGCCACATAAAGAGCGAGAGAAGAGAGAGATTTGGGTGAGAGAGGAGAGATATTGATTGGAAGAGAGAGATGGGTTGGCAAGAGAGAGTTGGCAGAGAGAGTGGCCATATAGAGAGCGAGATAGGATGGGGAAGAGAGAGAGAGGAAGAGAGAAATGGGTTGGGCGAGAGAGCGAGATCGATTGGGTGAGAGAGATGGGTTGAGAGAGAGAGGGTATGGGGCGAGTGCTGGGTGAGAGAGAGATGCATAGCAAGGTGGAGAAAAAAAAGAGAAAAAAGAGGAGTGAAATGAGAGGGGACCTATGTGTCCCTATGTATTTTGTTTAGGAAAAAAATTACTACCAAATAAACATTGGGTGGGTAATAACCATTTAAGGGGTTAGAAGATAGGAAAATGAAAAATTTAATGCTGCCAAAAAGACTTTACAACTCAGGTTCTATATGAAAATCATCTTCCAAATTAGGGTGTATAGAGAAAATTTCCCAATAAACAAAAGGGACCGCGTACCATGATATTTAGTTTTGACTTTTGGCCTGCATGATATGCTCCCATGGGAGCATACTGTCGACATGCTCTTTCAGGGCGAAATAATCATTTCAGAGATTTTTTGATATGAAATTTGCGGATCCACTTAAGTATGTGTGTTCCCTCTCAAAAACTTTCTCTGATCTAATTACCCAAAAATAAAAGCTTTCTCTGATCCTTCCATGCCTTCTTCCCTTATCTCGTTCTTTTCGGTGTTGGGTAGTAGAGCCTAATTTACGAAGGCGCTGCTATTAAAGAACTCTCGCTCAATGAGTGGAGTTTTTGGCACACTAATTTACGGGGGTTTTGTTAGGCTACACCACTTGGTGGTATAGACCCTTAAAATGCTAAATATTTTTTGACACTAAAATACTCTGAAATTGGAATACAAAGTTTTTCAAGTAGGGGATATTTTGGTCATTTTAAAGGGTAGAATAGATATTTTTATAAGAAAATAATGACATTCTATTGGTAGTTAAAAACAATCAATGTATCTTGTGAGTGATGTCACATACCATTTTGGTGATGTCATTGTCCACTATTGTTAATAAATATTTTTGTTTATATTAGACATCTCTAGTTTATCATTGACTAATTATTTAAAATACCACTAAAAAAAAGTTATTATATTATAGGAAAATGATATCTAAATGTCTAAAAATATTGAGCGCTTTAAGGGTCTACACCTCTTGTGGTATAGCCTAATAAAACCCTTTATTTTACCTACTAAATATTTAGGGTTTTATCTAGTAAAGTACAAGAACAGTTTGCTCCCCGAGGGAATATCTTAGCTTATGGCTTAGCTTGCATTTTCCCGAAAGAAAAATGAAGAAGTTGCCGATATTTTGGTTGGGAGCCGAACCCCCAAGCCGCGCCGAACCGTGAGCCGAACCGGAGAAAATACGTATGCAATGATGCCATCAAAAGGGGCAAAAACAGGTCCGTACCCCTCTAAAACAGCGAACCTTAAAGTGGGTGACGTGGCTCTTGGTGGGGGCATCTCACCTTAATCTTTCCCCCCCAAAAATGTGTTTTCCCATATGTTTAAAACCCGTCCTTCCACATCACTCCCAGATATTTTCGCTCCACCACTTTCCGAACGTTTCTCTGCAACTCTTCTCCCCCCTCGCTTTCTCTCTCTTGAACTCTTCTATCGTTTGTCTTTCTCTCTCTTCCATTTCTTTTACTCTCGCATCTATCTTCCTCTCTCTATCTTCTTGCCCCTTCTCTGTGCTTTTTTACGCTTGCATTCACTCTGCAACTTCTTAGTGTCTCTCTGGTGCCAGTATGCCTCTCTCTCTCTCCCTCCCTTGTTTTTCCTTTCATTTCTTCACTTTTTCTCTCTATATATCTGTGTCTATTTCCTCTTTTTGTCGAGTATATTGCAATTCCGAGTTTTTATTGGAGGAGTGGCTCTTATTTTTCTGAAAAACAGAGTGGCTGTTGTTGATGCTTTTGTTTCGTTTTCTTGGGATAACATGCTTACTGACGCAATGCCTTGTTTGCATTAGGCTTATTTGGATTTCTTGTACTCTAGATGATTGTTTTGTATTGAATGAATTAGATTTGCAGTTGTGCATTTCAATGGAAGAGTGTTGTGGCTTGTATTGTTCTCATGAGTGGATTGCAGATGGCTAAAACACAAAAGTAAATACAATGCATGTTTGTTTTTGTGATGTAGGTTAGAGATCGCTTCTGCTTACTGATTTAGTTTGCTTGTTTTGTTTGGATCATGGATATTTCATTACTTGTTACGGAAATAGCTTAGAAATGGAAAAATCAGTTACAGGCTTGTGTATAATGAATCAAGAGGCACTCATTTTCGCGTTGTTGTGCATTTGCAAGTCTCCCTTACACTTTCTTTTCTATTTCAATGATTTTTTTGGTTTTTATTTTTATTTTTATAGCATATTATTTCTTTTATGGATCTTTGTATGCTGATACTTTGTTGCATGTGAAATGCCCTGCATCTAGCTCTAAGCAGGGGCAAGCCTCTGGTGTTTTAAATCTGAGACCCCCTTTGTACCTCTGCAAGTTTACCTCTGTTAGTTTATACTTCTAATCATCTATTAAGTTCTTGGTCTTGTGTCCTTTCATGGATATGCGTGCCTTGACAACTTCGTTTTGCCTCTGTTTCTTCACAACTCGCATTGCATATGAACTCCTAATGCCATTTTCAGAACAGTGGCATCCATTTGACCTTTTGAGAACAGTGTGAAATCTTGTCCCCATGGAAGCCATTTTCTTTACTAGTGCTTGTTCTAATCTGTTTTCCTTTAAGGGATCTCAAAGTTTTGAATCTAACAATTATAAATGTATCACGGGATCCTTTTGTTAGTTGTCTTTGTTTTATTTAGGACTCTGCTGTAATTTTCATCTCATTCCATGTCTTACATTCATTTTTAGAAATGGAAAGAGACGAAGTATCGCAAGTTTGCAACATGAGAGCTCCCCAGAAGATCATTCATCCTACTATTAATCTCTTACCGTTCTGCAATGGTGCTTAAGTATGGATCTGTTATGGGCTTTAGCATACAGTAAACTATTGGTGGTTTCTATTTGAAAAAATGAACGGTTCATGACCTGACCTGTGAGGTTCTCTCGAGTGTAACTGTGCGATTGTTCTCTTTCAGATGGTGTGAGATGGGGAAAGAACAAACTTCTGATTGAGATTGAAGATTCGAAGTAAGCACTTAAAGGCCAGGTTTGGTTGAAGTGTGCTTTTTCTACAATTCTTTTCTTGCGTATGTGAGTGTATATGAACATGCATTTGGTTAGTTTGGAAATAGGGATCCTTATTGAGTAGCATACAAGATGTCATATACCGTTTGTGTATCAGTACTCTAGAAACCCGTCTTTCTGCTTGTTTTTTGTTGCTGTACTTTCTTTTCTTTTACATTTTTTCTTATTACCAGAGATGGAAAGCATGATGCTGGAGGGGTCCTTTGGACCTTTTGAAGCAATGAAGTCGCATGAGTCTATGCGCAAATTAGTAATCTAGTTTGGCAAATGATAGGTCTTATCGATAAAATGACTACTTCTTGTCTATCTCTATGGAGAATTCAGAAAGATTTTCAAAGTTCAAACGAGTTAGAAATATGAAGGATCTAAACTCGTGTAGTAAATACTCAATATATGATTATGAATTTGTGAGATTGGGATGGCATGGGTGCAGCTTTCAAGACCATTCTCTAGTGTCATCTGTAATATCTCTTTCTCTGTCCTGTGTTTGACTTTGTGTTCAGGCCTTCAATTCCAGTTTGTTTGCATGCATACGCCTAGACATGGTAGATTGGGGTTGCAATAGATTGTCAGTTTTTAGCACTTTAAAAGGTTTGAGTTTTATTTATTGGAAAAGCTACTCTGTGGTAAGAAATAATTGAGGTTTCAGGGTGATCTCTTAAGCTGCCAGAAATTGTGCATCTTAAAACCCCCAATTTGTTTAATTTATATGTTCTGAACATGCAATTATCCCCTTCTGCTGTGAGATCTTAAACCCAAGAAATTTCTACTCTAGTGGTCTCTGCTACTTCACTTCAGTTGCTAGCTGATACTTGTTGATAACACTGTTGTTTCCATATCTGCGATCCTCATATGCAGCAATAACATTCTAGTAACTTCTCTGTCTAACTTTTGCCAACATATGCTCTGCTTCTCTGTATGCATTGCTTTTGGTTTTTTAAAGGATCAGTTTTTCACTGTTTCCTCTTGATCTGGGATGTAGGGAATAGTTAATCTGAGTACTGAGTATTTGGCTTCACATTGCTCTAAACATCAGAAGTTGGATAATGAATTCTAGAGTTTACATGCTGCTTGGTTCACTTGTTCTATGAGGATGATGATTGCCTTACATAAGAGTTTTTTTTGGCATAGATTTTTCATATATGTTGATGGGCCAATGGCCTTTTGGATAGATTATAATTATGTAAATATAGTTCATGTGTGAGGCATTTTCTCTTCTCTAATTGAGAAGTGATTCAATTGTTTTTTCAAAGAATTCCAACAAAAAACAAAAGACAAGCAAGAGGTCTTTTATTTTGATTATTCAACAGCCTCCCACTGTTCAGAAGAATGAAGCTAGATCGCAGGGCCTAACTAGCCATCACTG